CTCTTCAGTGCCACCCTCGAGAACATCATGCAACGACTGGACTGGGAAGGAATGGGAGTGAAGATAGATGGTTGGCAACTACACCACCTCCGCTTTGCTGATGACATTATTCTAATAACACCAAACAGCCAAGCGGCACAAATGCTGGCCAACTTCCACCGTGAGTGTGGAAAAGTCGGACTACAGCTGAATCTTATGAAGACAATGTTTATGAGAAACAGCCTCGTTCCTGACGCTCCATTCACTCTCAACGAAACGAACATCTCCAAATGCAACAGTTATGTATACCTACGTCGAGAAGTCAACATGACGAATGACCTGGCACCTGAGTTGTGCAGGAGGAAGAGAGCTGCTTGGAATGCCTTCAAGAGTGTCAAAGAAATAGCTAAGAGGACAAACGGCTCCAGGCACATCTCTTTGATCCCATTGTTCTTCCTGCATTAACATAGGTCTCAGAGACCTGGGCCCTATGCAAACAGGATAATAACACTATTCGGTTCTCCCAAAGAGCAATAGAAAGAGCTATGCTTGGAGTATCATATTTCACTCAAATGAGAGAAAGATTCCGGAGTTCCGACCTCCATCGAAGATCAAGAATCAGGGACACTGTCTTGTTTGCCAAGGCGTCAAAGATCAGATGGGCTGGACACGTAATGGGATTTAGAGATGACCGCTGACTAGAGCCGTTACCGACTGGATTCCACCGGACGTCAAAAGACCACGTGGCCGCCCAACTACCAGATGGTCAGACTTCTTCATCAAGATCATGAGCGATTGGTTTGAGGCTCTTTGTGTTCCTAGAATGAACAGATATTATTGGACTACACTAGCATGCGACAGGGACAAATGGAGACGTTACTGCAACTGCTCGAGCAAATGGACTATTACGGGAAGTCAAGTGATTCAGTGATCAAGTGAATCAGACAATGGATTCAATGGATAAGAGGCTTCTGAAGCTATAATCAGCAAAGCAAATTAAGGAAGCAAAATATGCTAATTACTGGTTAAACTACTTTAGGGACAAAGTGAACAATTAGTTTGTGCTTAGGAAGGACAATCACAATTGAGGGGGTGGTGATTCTGGAAGCTGAATAATTTGTTTATGGGCTGTACTTATTAATGGGTTACTCCTGACCCTTGAATACTAGAGAGGTGTCTCCTTTCTTCTGACTGAGGAGGACCGGAATAAGATGGAGTCAGTTAAGTCAGGATCCCTCAGCTCACCCAATCCCAATGTTCACAGTATTACATACCATTCAAATCCACCCAGTGAGCTGTGATAGCAGCATAGTATTCATATAGCATTACATATGTGAAGACAATGTAATTATCTTCATATACTTTTTAAACTCATATTATTTTTAATTTTAGAATTAATTTGACAAATATTCAATATAAATACTAGAGACATTAAGATAACAGGATGAACGTTTTTTATCTTTTCCTGGACTTTTTCAAGACATCTGTAAAGCATGAGAGCTATTTGAAGACATTTTTAAAGATGAGTTCAAGTTTGTGACTTAGGTATCTGTACTATGCACTGCAGCTTTAAACATTTATTATCAGAGGTTCCTTTAGTTACATCTAAAAGGAAAATAGTAAAGTAAAGAAAAGGCCCTCCCGTTGATCATCAATTTGCTCGAGCGTGCCCAGTAACGTCTACATTGGAGACTTTTGTTGTTACTGTGTCTGGCATATCGAATACGTCACAGGGAGCTTGCCAGGCTCTGCCGTGCGGGCGAGATACTCTCGGTAGCTGGCCGGGCTCTCCGAGAGGGGCGGAGGAATCGAACTCCGGTGGGCCATGTTGGCTGCGTGCAAGGCAAATGCCCTACCCCTGTGCTGAATGATCTTTCTCTATCAATACCAGAAGTTTCACCTTTTAACCTTTGTGCTTGCAGAAACTCAAAGTTTCTTACCTTCAAATTCATATTTTATTTGCAGTAGAATTACTTTTTTTGTCCTTTGAGCACTTTTCATTTATCATTTATTGTAAAATATAAATTTTGGGGCCAAGGGTATGACTCAATACTAAAGCACTTGTCTTGATTATAGGAGACCTAAACTATTTCTGGCACTGAACATTTTTATTTTTCAAATCACAGGTTATGAATGGGGTTTATGAGGAGTTCCCTCCGATCCTGAGGGGCTCAAGTAATGGTCTGGTAACAAAATTTATCAAATAGTGAAATATTTTAGCAAGAGCAGAGTAAGAGTTTATTGAAGGGGTCTGACCAAAGGGACCTTACCTGGGGTTAGGAGAGATTAATGTCTCTCTGGAATAGCTTTAGGGGTTCTTTTGATATTTCTTAGGTGTGTCCCCCTCCCACTACTCTCTCCCTTCCAGGAGCTCTTTGGACAGGGAGGTTAAGTAAGATACCAGAACAGAGTAACCTTGGGAACCTGAGGAACAAGGTGGAAAGTGAGTGATATTGCATAGGGATTACAGGTACAGAGTGGATTAGGGGTAAATCCAGTGAGGGAGTGACTCAAGGACGAATGTGTGTGGTGCAGAGTATAGAGCACTTCTAGGTTTATTCAGCTAATTGCTTCCATGAGATCATTCATCTTTTAATACACAAATTGACCAAGATTTTCTCATGGGAACTAAGTCATATCACTTAATTTTGAGTAGACAGTCTCAAGACTAGCATGTCTAGACTAGCTCTTCTAGACTAGAGCTTCTCCAACTTTTTCTGACCAGAGACACCTTCAGATGTTGCCTTGATTGCATGCTGTCGTCTTACATGTGGGTTTTCATCTGTGACCCTCTTGGTATATTCTGGGGAACCTCAGGTTGAGAAAGGCAGTGCTAAACAATGAAAGAAACTTTCAGTAAGCAAAATTCTGCCTTTCATTGTCATTTGCTGCCACTAGTACATTGAAAGAGATAATGAAGTTAAGATGAACAGAGCCAATTTAAAAGAACAAAGTAGTGACAGATGATGAACAGGCCATTTGTTTGCCCAAAGACAGTGAAGCCTCAGGTAAAAAAAATCCATTTGGCTTGGAAACAGTAAGCATCACAAGTCTTTAGAAGTAGAAACAGAAGTTTTAAGAAGTAAGTGTAATAATCCATGTTCATTTTAAAATTAAACATTCTGGCTGAATAGACAATACATTTTTCACAGTAGTAGTACAATTGTACCACTATATTCTCACCTCTTAATCAAGGAATACACCAAATCATTCACCTATCCAGTGACTTTGTATCAGTTTTGGAGGATACATGCCATCAAAGCTTAAACTTAATCTGCCACATGAAGAAGAAAAAAATCCTTCATTTAGCTTTAAATTAAGTTTTGTCATTTTAAGAAATAGACTAAATGAAGATGAATCCTTTTGCTCTTTAAAACTAGACTCAAACTTCTATCTAATTTGGTAGCTTTTTCCATCCAAGGCACATTTTAAACAGGAAGAATTTGGAAATGAACAGAGTATGGAGTTACCTGTCTTGCAATTTTCCAATTTATGTTCAGTCCATAAATAATTTAGAGGACTACCTAAATTGAATAAAATAGAATCATGATCAAATGAGAGGATTTTTAACAAGTCTTTAAAAGTTACAATGATGTTTGAGTAATGAAAGGAAATTATCAAATTATATCTAATCAGAAATTTCTATTTGTATGCCAAACATGAAGTACTAATCTCACTTTCCAGCACTGCTTTGAAACTTAGAGATGCAAAGTTTTTTTTTGGATACGCATTGAAAAATTTTGTATTTATGCTTATAGGTGGAGTATATTTTTCAATGTATAATAGGAAGTAAGGAAGTAATTCTATATGCTATTCAATTAGAAGAAAAAATAAAAAGAGGAAGCTGGAGAGCTAGTACAATGGGTAGAATGCTAGCCTTGCTTGTGATTTACCCTGGTCTAACCTCAGGCACCCTCATATGGTCTCCTGAACCTTACCAGGAGGAGTTCCTAAGCTCAGAGCCAGGAGTAAGCACTGAACACCATGGATATGGCAAAAAATATATAATAAGATAATAGTAGCTTAAATATAGTGGGTGAAAATTCTTCTAACACCTCTCAGATCCTGTCCTCTCCTGCATTGTAGAGTTAGATGCAGTTGAAGAATGGTGGGAACTAGTGAAACTGAGTTGAATGAATCAAAAGAGAGAAAACAAAAGGTTAGGCATAGAGGGCTGGAGCGATAGCACAGCGGGTAGGGCGTCTGCCTTGCACGCAGCCAACATGGCCGACCCGAGTTCGATTCCTCCGCCCCTCTGGAGAGCCTGGCAAGCTACCGAGAGTATTCGATATGCCAGACACAGTAACAAAGTCTCCAATGGAGACGTTACTGGGCCCGCTCGAGCAAATCGATGATCAACGGGAGGGTCTTTACTTTTTTACTTACTTTTTAGGCATAGAGATGGAAAGGATAGCTAAAATTAGTCTTTGAACAATTTATTGACAGCACCAAGTATTCTCTGAAATATTTAAAATTACTCTGAAGTAGTTGTAAAGGAAAACTACTTCAAATTCAAAATAAATGAATATTCTAGCATCATTTATATCTGGAACACATAGAAAGAACCTAAATACAGTTTAAAGGGAATTTTAAAAAAAGGGAATTACTCATATATGAATAGTATAATGTTCATGTTACATCATGTACTGTCATAATATTCAGTCATGGCTGCATTATCTTCTCTTTGTTAATTACCAGGCTGGACATATAGCACAGCAGGTAGGGCGTTTGCCTTGCACACAGCCGACCTGGGTTCGATTCCTTCTGTTCCTCTCAGAGAGCCTGGCAAGCTACCGAGAGTATCTCGCCTGCATGGCAGAGCCTGGCAAGTTACATGTGGCGTATTCGATATGCCAACAACAGTAACAACAAGTCTCACTTCGTGGTCCTGGAGCGAGCAGACACCATTGGGCTACACTAGCATGTGACAGGGATGAATGGAGACATTATTGATGCCCGCTCAAGCAAATCGAAGAACAACTGGACAATATTGCTGCACTGCTATAGTGTTAGCTACCAAAACCATTCAACCTGCATCTTCTTCCTCCCCCTCTTCCAAGGGAAGAAAGAATAATCATTAATAGTAAAAGGTAATTGTAAAAGCAACACCTAGAATGGGCTTCATGCTCAGGGAAGAATGTTCTGGCTCCTCCTGACCTGATGGTTTCAGGCTCTACATCATCAAAGAAACTTCTCTAGTAATAAACTATAGAAATGATCCCTGAGAGTATATTCTTTGTATTTTCTTTTATCCTCACATTCAGTTTTGGATAGAAACATTTACTTATTTTTTTCCATTTGTTGTTTACCAATTTGATACATGCATGGCAACCAAAGGTGTGGGTGAGGCGGGGAGCAGTGAGTAACCTAGGGTTAGATGAAAGAAAGCAGTGTTGACTTGTAGTCAAATTATGTCAAGAAAAAGATTGGAATATTTACCCAAAACTAAGAGTCTTACCAATTCCTTGATAAAGGTTAGATTGTAGACTAGTATCAAAACTAAACTGCTGCAGTTCTGTATACTTTCTCATTTATTTGCATTTGAATTCAATGTATATGAACTATAATTAATTTACTTTACAGTAGAATTAAGTAATTATTGAGTAATCTTTTTGTTATAATTCACAAGATCTAAATTAAAGATTGTTCACTTCTAGTGTTAAAAATTTAATGCTATTTGAACAAAAGTATGCTGTAGCCAATATTCACGATGTTCAAATTAGAAGACAGAGTACGTAAAATCTATCACAGAATGTTTACTCCAAAGACCTGACACTGTAGGTATAAAGGATAAAGGCTCTTGTGGGAGTTCAGATTTGTTGATTCCTTAAAATGGTTTTGAAAAATGTTACCAATATTCTTTTTTCTCATCAAAATGTATAATGTATATTTTAAGATGGCAATTTAAGTCAATTTATTTTTTACAAGATCTTTAGTAGGAAAAATGAAATGTTTTAGGCAACTAAGAAAGCCGTTCTTACCAAATACAGTAAGACTTTTAAATGTTTTCCAAAATCATTTATCTTTATGAATTTAAATCTTATTGTTTTACGAATAATTACCTTCCCAGTATGTCCTTTTTAAAAATAATTCCACTTTCTATTGCACAGACCAATTATCTAAAGGTTGGCATTCTAGTTTTTTATACAGTCCAGTTTGTTATACATTTTCATTGTTTTTTTATTATAAAATTTCTTTTCCTACATCATTTTAATCTAGCTCATCTCTGTTAAAAACATTTTTCTGTTTTTTGTTTTGTTTTGTTTTTTGCTTTTTGGGTCATACCCTACAATGCTCAGGGTGTACTCCTGGTTCTGCACTCAGGAATTACTCCTGGGAGTGCTCAGGGGGTCCATATAGGATGCCAGGGATCAAACCCAGGTTGGCCTTGTGCAAGGCAAATATCCTACCTGCTCTATTATTGCTCTGACCCTTTAATGCCTTTTCTTTTCTTCAGTTTGCTTACCTAGTTTCTGAGCTACAGTTTTTTATTTAAACCTATCTCTTCAATATCCCTAACAATCTACTCCAATTATCTTTCTATTAATTAATTAATTATTTTCTAAAATTGAGTCACCATGAGACACAGAGTTACAAAACTTTTCCTGGTCGGAGTTCAGTCATACAGTATTCCAACATCCATCCTTGCATCAGTGTACATTTCCTACACTAATGTCCACAGTTTCCATCCCACCACCTTCCCCCACAGCCTGTCTCAATGGGAGGCTCTTTGCTTCTCTCTCTCTGTCTCTCTCTCTCTGTCTCTCTCTGTCTCTCTCTCTCTCTCTCTCTCTCTCTCTCTCTCTCTCTCTCTCTCTCCCTCTCTCTCTCTCTCTGCTCTGTGTGTGTCCTTTTGGTTATTATGGTTTGCAATACAGATACCGAGAAGGTATCATGCTTGCTACGTCACCTTCAGCATGCAGTTCTTATTCAGAGTGATCATTCCCAGCTATCTTTGCCATAATGGTCCCTTCTCTATCTCAATTTCCTTCTCCCCTAGCACCTGAAGCAGGTTTCCAATCATGGACCAATGTCCCTGGCCTTTTTTCTACTGTCTTTGGGTATTTAGTCTCATTATGTTTTTTTTTTTAATAGCCACAAATGAGTCTAACAATTTTATGTCTATCCCTCTCCTTTTGACTCATTTCACATGGGATGATACTCTCCATGTCCAACATTTATATGTGAATTTCATAACTTCATTTTTCCTAACAGCTGCATAGTATTCCACTCTGTAGATGGGGTACAATTATCTTGATTTAGTTGAAAACTCTACTTAGCAATCAAGCCCTAATATTAGTTTCCATAATATCTCCTTTTACTTAACATGGCTCCTCTCTTCTGAGTCTGATCTAATTTTTCCAATTCCTGTTTATTATATGTATTTATTCTCTGCCCTTTATCTTTGGCTAATCACTTTGTAAAACTCTAATCTGAAAAATAATACAGTTTGCCCAGTTGTATCTTCTTAATAGTAAAGCAACTGGCAAGTGAAAATGATTTAATTTGTTTCTAAAATTTAATAATATAATTATAATTTGATGACTCATCAATGAGAGGGAAACTAAAAAGTAAAATTAACTTTTCACTTCAGTTAAATGGAAAAACATAGGATAACTATCCATTTTTTGCTATAGCCATATGACAAAGCACCTAATTCCTCTTTTCTCAGTATCTTCATTTGTAGAACAAAAAAATGATTATTCCAAGGTTGTATCTATGTCTGGAGATTATAGGAGAATCAAGTGAAATTAAAGTAAGTAAAAACTCCATGAAATAGAGTGCAAACAGCCATGCAGAGACGTAGAGGAGCATTCTATTTAAAATTAATAACCCTGTCCTGTATAGTATATAATAAATTGTTTTTCTAATTGTTATAATTAACTTGTAAAACCATAAACAGTAATATTTTTGATGGGAAAGGACTTTTATATGGTGGTGGTGGAAGTGATTTAACTCTGTCTTTTTTTTTTTTTCTCCAGCCAAACCCTAAGCAGCATTTTCCCCCTTCTAAATGTATCCTGGAATCTTATAGTACTTGAACATTAGTGTCCTTATCACATTGTGATATCCACCTACCCAGGCCAACCTGAGTAGCCCTAGGTAGGTGGATATCACAATGTTGTATTTGGGTATGTTAATATTCACTTTGTCATCTGTTCAGGAAGCCAGAATTTTACAGTACCTGATGGTTTAGGCTTCTCTTTCAAGGTCTGTTTTTCTCCTTCATTTCATTCTAGGGAATGTACTTACACTTCTAAATAACTGTAGTGATTTCACCCAAGAATCAAAGAGACTTTTGTGATCCTTCATTTGCTATCCTAAGGTGACTCTTATTGAAAGAGATTTACTTTAGGAATATGTAGAAAAGCTTATCTGACCCTTCTGGGGAATCTAATACCACAATTTCTGGTATAGGCACTTGTAAAAGAAAACCACACAAGTGAAAATTCTCAAAGAAGCACAAATTTTAACTCACAGTTCCAGATAACTCTTATCCTGAGTCATGTTTGCCCTGTCACTGTCACTGTCACTGTCCTCTCATTGTTCACCGATTCGCTCAAGTGGGCCCAGTAACATTGTGAGACTTGTTACTATGTTTGGTATATCGAATACGCCACAGGTAGCTTGCCAGGCTTTGCCATTCGGGCGAGATACTCTCGGTAGCTTGCCGGCCTCTCCGAGAGGGGCTGAGGAATCGAACTCGGGTCAGCCATGTTGGCTGCGTGCAAGGCAAACGCCAATAGTAAGGAATATTCTGTTGAGATTAATAAAACAGAGGAAAACACAATGGAGCTCTTCAATCAAGTCACCACTTAGATTTACTACTGAGCCTAATTGCAATTTCAACTTCTCCCAAATGTATAATCTAAACCAATCAATCTGTAGTTTCCAGATCAGCATTAGTACTGTGCTTAAGGTCCCCTGAGAAAAGGTGGTTTTACTTTGAGTTATCTCTTTTCTCTGTTTATTTTAATCTTATTTAATTCTTTATTTCACCCTTCTTATTTTACCCTTTTTCAGACTATAACAGCTACATCTTATGTAGACTGCTATTTGTTAGATATAAAACTGCCACTTATCAGTCAGTTAAGGTCAATTAAATTTCTAAGTTTACGAACTTTTGGTCTGTGTCAGTGGGAGAATTAGGTTGTACCTTGTGGTACTCAGAACTTATTCCTGCCTCTGTGTTCAGGGTCACCCCTGGCAGATTCACTCCTCAGAGATACTTAATAGCTGAAATACAAAACTCATGGTCAAATTAATGACTCGGAAATAATGTTGATGATCTATTAATATTCCCTAAGAACTACTATCAAAACTATGCATAATAAACTCAAGGATACCAGGAGCCCCATGTTATTTATTAATTGGCTTATTATAATTACTGAACTTCATTACATATTATATTTTCCATATGGATTAGACAGTTGAAGCAAGTAGGAAGGTAGGTGAACTCTTGACATTGAATTTCATATGAAATTCAAAAAGTAAATATGAGCTCAAGAGGACTTCCTGCCATCTGTTCTCAATTACAGGCTGAGTGTTCCAACTCAAAGTATTGGGAGAGGCCCCTTCAAAGGAAGATTCTTCAATCCTTCGACAGCTTCTAGAGAATGCAGCTTGGAAAACCCTATAAAACTAGCTTTACAGAACTGAACTTTACACATTCCATTCTTGGAGTCACTCACACCCTCTACTTTTTATTTTTGTCTTTCTCCCTTGCTTTTATGAGGCATATTCCACTTTTCTTTAGTGGGGTCAACTGCACCCTGACCTGAGTTGTATAACTGTTTTCTCTCTGGGGTTTCTTTCTCTCTTTCTTCTATGGAGCACTCCATGTTTACTCTAGCGTATGTTTTCTTTCTTTGCACTGTCTCTTGTCTCACATTTTCTATATAACACATTTTTTTTTCATTATTTTTCTCCTCTGAAAATTCTTTTCTGTGATAATAGACAACAAATCTTGGAACTTTGGGTGGATTCTTAATGCGCACACCACACAGAGACTCCTGTTGGCTTCTGTGAGCAATAACCTCTCAGTAGAGGGTGTGAGTGACTCCAAGAATGTAATGTGTAAAGTTAACTTCTTTAAAGCTAGTTTTATAGGATTTTCAAAGCTGCATTTGCTAGGAGTTGTCAAAGGATTGAAGAATCAGCCTTTGTGAGTCCTAACCTCTCAGTCATATTACAGCAAGTTTGTCAATGATAAGGGTTGTTGTAACACATTTTCTGG